TCCCATCCCATCCCAGTGGAGTTCCACACTCCAGCCCCAGCCCTGACATGGAGCAGGTGCCCTGTGACACGCTGTGGCACTGAGGGTGCTGAGGAAGACACATGGCATACCGGGGAGGGACCTGCAGGCTGCAAATTCCAGTATAACCCAGCTGGAAAAGCCATCCYATCTCCACCAGGTCCCTGCCTAACTGTTCCTGCTTCTCTTGCAGATCTTGGGGGCCCATTCTTGTACCGGGACCAGGACGATGGAGAGAAGAGCTCGTATTCAGTGGAAACCCCCTATGGCTTCCTACTGGACCTTGATTTCCTGAAATATGTTGATGACATTGAAAGTGGCCAAACACTCAAGAAAGTGCCACTGCCTCGCAGGGTGAAAGGGTCCCGGCCATCAGCCAGCACCCTCCGCAGCCCCAGCAGCCACACCAGCGCCTGGACCTCCACSGAGTCCCTCACCTCCATGGCCAGCGAGGATGGCAGGACTGCCTTGCTGCTGTCCCCGCACGCTCGGGCACCCCCGGAGCCTGCGAGCAAGCCAACCTCCCACCCCATCTCACCAGTGCGGCTGCTCCCACCCCCCACCCGCAAGTGCTGCGTGCGAAATCCACGGGTGGAGAAGACCTTGCTGGAGACGAGCAGGAGGCTGGAGCAGGAGCAGGGCCATTTGCGGGATATTGGCGGTCCCTCCCGCGGTGGCCAGCTGGGCACCCTGAGCCAGCCACCCCACTGGATGCCAGTGGGCACCGAGGGCCAGGCGGGCTGGGGCCGGGTGAGCCCTGGCAGCTCGGGGCGCAGCACTCCGGCCGCGGGGCTTGGCACGGCCCCCCTGCAGCACGTCCGGGAGCAGATGGCTGCAGCCCTGCGGCAGCTCCGGGACCTGGAGGAGCAGGTGAAAACCATCCCCCAGCTGGAGATGCAGATCTGTGAGTTGAAGAAAGAGAAGGCAAAGCTGCTGGAGAAGCTGTCGGCAGAGCCTGGCGAGGAATTGTACCACCCCCCGAGCTCTGAGGCAGGGGCGGGCAGTGAGGAGCTGCCCCGAACGGAGCTGGAGAGTGAAGCTGAGCCAGCAAAGGGGCGAACGAGCAAAATTGCCGAGCTGAGGAAGCTGACAGAGAAGCTGGCTGTGCCAGAGCGGGGTGTCAGGGCTTGGCCAGGCAGGAGCCCCAGGGTGGCTGAGAGGCCGTGCCGCTCCGTGGCGGTGGGTGAGGACCGGGCCATGACAGATGCTGTCTTCTACTACCAGTCACAGCAAGAGAGCGGGGACACGCCCGACGGCGGCACACGGGGACGCAGGGACGTGGCTGTCTGGGTRCTGGAGTCCTCGCTGGGGCTGGCCACTGAGGCAGAGCGGGAGCTGGAGCTGCTCCAGCAGACAGTGGGGCACCAGAAGGAGGTGATCGCCCTGATGGAGGGGCACCTGCAGGAGGCCACGCGGGAACTGGAGGAGCTGCGGCTGGAGGTGTGCGCCCGCCGGTCCCAGGGCCAGGCGGACAAAGAGGTGATGGCCAAGCCGCAGGTGGCCGAGGCGCTGGTGGAGGCTGTGGTGGTGACACAGAGCCGGGCAGCTGGCGACCCCCCAGAGACGGCGGAGGCAGGCGTGGAGTGCTGCCCCCCGACCTCCTGCGTTGCCGTGGGSTGCCACCCTGACAGGCGGGACGTGGCGGTCGGACCCGATTCGGCTGCCGGCTGCARTGACAAGGGCAGCCAGACCGATGTGGGCAGCATTATCCTGGCAGAAGAGGAGGAGCCTGGTGTGGGCAAGGTGATGGAGCCTGGCCTGGGWGATGGCCTGAGCAGCCCCTCAGTGCCAGGCACAGGAGCAACAGAGGTGATGTGCCCAGAGAGCCCAGCCCTTGGGCCAGYTGTGCTGGAGACAGCACACAGCAACCGGGAGCCATCCCCAGCACCGGGCAGTGGAGCTGCCCCAAGCCCCGCGGCTGGTGAGTGTCACCAGGGATGACACCAGGGTCTGGATTGGAAWATTCCTGCAAGAAGGGAGAAGATGGCCCTGGACTCTGTCTGCATGCCAATGCTGCCTGTGCTCCAGCAGCTGCCCATGTCMCTTCCATGCCCATCCAGGGGTCTCGTGGGTTTGGGGTGCTTGGCTAGCCCCAGGGAGACACTGTTTACAAGAGCATGAAGGGACAGAACAAGGGGGAGTGGTTTCAAAATGACAGTAGGTTTAGATTAGATATTAAGAAATATTTTTTTGCTGTGAAGTGGTGAGGCCTTGGCACAAGTTACCCAGAGAAGCTGTGGATGCCCCATCTATGGAAGTGTTTAAGGCCAGGTTAAATGGAGCTCTGAGCARCCTGGTCTAGTGGAAGGCATYSCTATTCCTGACCATGGCAATGGAGTTGGAATGAAATTATCTCTAAGGTCTCCTCTAACCCATGCCATTCTGTGATTYTAAAATTCTGGTTCTTGCACACTGGCCCTTGACATCCATCTCTTTYCCTGCAGGAGCCCTGAAGTCCATCATGAAGAAGCGGGATGGTCCTCCCCGGAGCGAGGCAGAGAGCAGCAAGAAGAGCCTGCAGTTTGTGGGCGTGCTCAACGGGGAGTACGTGCTGAGGGGCTCCTGCCACCCCCCTGAGCCAATCCTGGTCCCCTGCATCCCTGTCCCGGGCTGGAGCCAGTGGCAGGGCCTGAAGGGGGCCAGGCTGGTGCTGTATTGCCACCGAGCATYCTCCCTCTGTGCAGGTATGAGAGCACATCCAGTGAGGAGGAGGAGGAAGGCAACAGCTCCTCTGAGAAGGCTTCGGCTGACAGCTCCGACAGTTCAGAGCAGGGAGACACCGAAACCTCAGAGGAAGAGGCTGGGGAAGGCACGTGTGAACCCAGACTGGAGTGCAACAGGACCGATGTGACCCTGCTGGAGCCCCCYGAGGTGAAGGAAAAGTAAGTGCCAGTGGGGAAGGCTCCCAGGTCCCTGTCCCTRCACAGCTGGGAGCCATGGCACTGGCCCTGCCCGCTCAGGGCATCTGCCCCAGCTTCAGTGCAGCCGAGGGGAAAAACACATTCAGCTCCTGCAGAGACCATTCAGCAGGAAACAATCCTTCCAGTTTCTTGGGTCTGCTGAAGAAAGGATGAGAGGCCTCAGATGCCTCTTTGCTGCAGAATATAGTTTGGAGTGGGAMAAAAAACCAACAGCCTTCAATGGCATTTTTCAACAAAAGGAAAAAATTTGGCCTAAGAATGGGTGAATCATGCCTGAGCACGTCCGTATAAGGCTCTGTTCTATGGAGATTTGCAGAGGCTGAAGCTGCCAGAGTGCAGCCATTGCTCCATCCCATGGGTTTGGTGGGGTGATGCAGCCCTGCAGCACAGACATCCTCATGGTCYCCACAGGTTCGAGCTGAGCCCCAGGATGAGGGAAGCCTGCCTCATTGTCAAGACTCACCTGGGCCACCCTGGTGCTGCCAAGAGCAAAGAGGTGGTGAGTGGGGTGCCGGGGTGGGATGGCTCGCTCAAGCCTCTGCCAACATCCCCCAGAGCTGGCCTACCCAGAGAAAGGCTAGCAAAGCCTGGTTCAGCCCCTTCCCCCAAAATACAGCCCTTTGTTCCAGGGTTTGTCCCAGATACCCCAAAACCCATGYAGACTCAGCTCAGGCCATGCTCAGCATGGGTTTGGGCAGCTCAGGGTCCTGCTTTCGCCCCCCTCTGCCCCACCCAGGCTGGCAGCAGGGTGTGTGTACCAGGGTGTGGGGCCATGTGGAGCCTTCAGGGGAGCTCAGCTGCTCTCTGCCCACAGCTCACCAGCAGCAGCCTGGTCCTTCAGGAGTGGTTCCGTCTGTCCAGCCAAAAGTCGTCCGTCCCTGACACAGTGGCCAACCACCTCCTGGCCTTTGCCGAGGTCTCCCCGGCTCTCCTGGCCCACGTGGTGAACCTGGCAGATGGGAATGGCAACACGGCCCTGCACTACAGTGTCTCCCACTCCAACTTCCACATTGTGCGGCTGCTGCTGGACACCGGTCAGTGCTCTCACCCCCAGAAACATCCCCTGGCCACCATCCCACTGTACCCTAGGTCATCTCCTGGCCATGCCAGCACAGAGGGAAGGTGTTGGCAGCAGAGGAGCAGAATGGCTGTGTCCATTCATAAATGTGGGGGTGTTGGGGAGCCCAGATTTGATGGGGGAGATCCATCAGCAGCTCTGTTCCAGTGGGATGGCTTACAGCACCCTGGGCAGGGTTGTGAAGGGGAGCCAGGCACCTGGCTTGGTCTGTGTCTCCCACCAGCCCTGCAGCATCGTGAGCACCTTCTGCYCACTCCTGCAGGGATCTGTAATGTGGACCACCAGAACAAAGCTGGGTACACCGCCCTCATGCTGGCAGCGCTGGCGGCCGTCGAGCAGGAGGAGGACATGAATGTGGTCAGGAGGCTCTTCAGCATGGGCAACGTCAATGCCAAGGCCAGCCAGGTTGGTGAGGGCTGACCTCCATCCTGACTCTCCACTCCCATGCCCAAGCAGCTGCCAGAGCCACACTCAGCTCTTCCAAGGGCACRACAATAGCTCCAAAACCTGGAGGTGTTGGTGCATGGGGAGGGGATCACCTCAGGAGCTCCTCCTGCCTGGCAGCACGGCTATCTCAGCAGTGGTCCTGCAGTGGGGGGATGAATGGGTAGCACAGCAGTGGCTGTGGCCTGGCAGTGTCCCTTCCTTGCAGGCTGGCCAGACAGCACTGATGTTGGCCGTCAGCCACGGCCGGCAGGAGATGGTGGAAGCCCTGCTTGCCTGTGGGGCCGATGTTAACCTGCAGGACGAGGAGGGCTCCACTGCACTCATGTGTGCCTGTGAGCACGGCCGTGTGGAGACTGTGAAGCTGCTGCTGGCTCAGCCCACCTGCGACATCTCCATCGTGGACAGTGTAAGGCTCTCCCACTGGACCTGGGCAGTCTATGTGCTATCCCCAACCCCCTTTCCACGTGCTCTCCCTTCCTTTTTAGGATGGTAACAACGCTGTTGCCATCGCRCTGGAGGCCGGTCACAGCGACATTGCCACGCTCCTCTACGCCCACCCCAACGGCACCAAGGCACAGCCACCCGTGAGTACCACACCACGCCCTCTGCTCCTGCCACGGCTGGGAGCTCCTCCCTCCCCAGGGAGGGGAAGGGTCTCCCTTGGAGAGATGAGTGTCTCCAAGAAGGGGCTGCAGTGGCAAGAGCAGAGCATTTCAGGTGCCATGTGCTCAGAAGAGCCCTGTTGGCCCTGACCAGGAGTCACTGGAGGGGGCTCTGCTGACTCCTCTCTCTGCCAGCAGAGGATGTCACCGACAGCCACAAAGAGTCCTGGGAGTCCGAAGAAGCCAAATTAGACTGACGTTGGAATCCAGCCAGGGGCCACCATCAGCACTGAGCTGATTCACATCCCCTCGCCTGCCATCCCTCTGTACCAAACCGTTCTCTGCAGCTTTAGTCCCGACACAAGCACCGTCCCTGGGCCTCCCTCGCCTGTCTCCTCYGCTGCACATAACTCACGTGTGGCCACCTCACTGCACCAAGTGACAGCAGCCAAGTGACCTCGGGATGGGACACACAGGGAGCAGAAGCTCCCCCACCCCCTCTGCTCCCTCGATCACTGGAGCTGTGCCYGCTCTGAGCCCTCTGCATGGAGGAACAGCAGAGAACCAACGCAGCAGAAACAGCACCTGGTTTGTGCTCTGGCAGCTYTGAGAAGGCAGCAATGCTAGTGACATGGAGCTGGGAGGGCAAGTGACAGCTCCTGGCACCAGCAGGGACATGGTGCTCCCCTGGCACATCCTGTGCAGCAATGGGAAAGGGAGYGCTGCCTTGGACAGGGGCTGGGACCATTTCCAGACATAAATACTTGCCCTTCTTTGCCGGCATTTCCTTTCCTGGCTGAAATCTGATTTTTTCCCCTCTTTTCTAGCATGTGCACACAAAGCAAAAAAAATTATATTGCTTGGCAAAAGGATGAAGTTCAACATAAAATCACTCGGGATTTAATTTGCTCAATGGGAGCAAAAGCTCTGAGCAGCTGGGGTTGCAGCCAAGTGACAAAAAGGGCTGAGGGCCAAGGGTGCCTTTGGGGACTTAGCCTGCCTAGCTGATAACCCACATGGAGAGCAGGTTCTTCTTCCAAGAAAGAGACCAATTGCCTCCTAAATATTTCCCCAATTAACCAGTCGCATAGACTGTGCAGACAGCCAGAGCCCACAGCTGAGTCCCTCTCTGCCCATTTTCCATCCCAAAAGGGAGAGCAGCTGAAGACAGCGCCAGGAAAAACACATGGGCCAGAACTCAGAGCACACAGGTAGGGCCTGCAGAAGGGAACATGTATGTCAGAGAACATGAGTCTGTGCAAGTGTGTGAGACCATGTGGGGTGGGAACATAGTAAGGACAAGGACCAGGAGGAAAAAGAGTTTTGCATAGGAAGGCAGCTCTGCTGTAAGCCCTTCACAAAGGTAATGTGTTGCACCCCCCATTCATGCTCCTTGGCCCAGCCTCACCATAGACCTGGTCTGTGCCRTTCACAACCCTCCCCAGAAACCTGCTCTCAGCTTTGCACTGGAATTAATACACAGCTCACTACCACTCCCTAATAYACTACTCTGTTTACTGGTATTTTAATACTGATGTTTATTTTTAAGATATAAATAAAATTTAAAGTTATTTTGAAATATTACAGTGACATCAGCAGTCTCCTGYCTCCTTGTCTGGCTTACCCCAAACCCCACAAGAGCTGCAGCAGAGGCACAGCCCTCGACCTCAGCAGGTGCCCCCACATTCCAAGTCATTCACAAGTTTGGTTTTCTCCCTGCTGAAGTGTCCCAGACAGGAGCAGCAGTTTCTTTGCCCATTTCATTCTGCAGGACCAAACTGGATGGAAGACCAGGCACGGCCCTTCACCACCCCTGGTTCTCTGTGGTGCTGATCTTMCACTGCATTGTTAAAGGTCAATSACCAGACTGAGAGGATGCAAATTGCCTCCCTCCTCATGTGGATGGGGACCAGGCTAACCCCCCAGGGATACCCCAGAAGGATAGAGCTCTTTAAGCCACTGTGTCCCAGTCACTCAGCACTCAGGGCAGGCAGGGGCCAGAGCTAATATTCTCAGGTCACAGCTGTGAAGGAATAAACAGCAGCCACAGAACTGAACTCCAAGGGGACTTCAGGCACTCATGACCAGTTCTGAGGTCTGCCACATCACATGAGCCAGGGAACACAGCCTTGTGCTATGCTCTGAAACTGAAACACCCCCAGAGAATTACAAATTACATCAAGCAACMGCACAGACACATTGACAGGGGCTTTCTTTATGGCACAAACTCCACATGCCTCATGCCTCCCATGAGCTGCCCAGAGCACAATTAAAACTGGAAGGAAAAATCTCACAATCACTCTAACATCAGCCCTACAAAAATCCTCACTGTCTTCTCCAGTTCAGCAATTTGCACAYTTGTCCTAGCAGTGCTCTACTCAGCYTTAGAACACCCAAATCCTTAGTCACACCTGCCACTGAACTGCCTCAGTCAAGCTCAGGACACTGCAGACAAAAAACACTCCCAYCAGAGACCACACATGAGAGGCTGCAGATTTGACTCAGCTCAAACACACCACAAACCTGGACTACCCCATAAGCAGATGGAAAACACCACTCCTTAAAAACCTGCCCTTGAACCAGCGCAGTTTTCAGGGTCATTYTGAACTTTTCAGCCTTRCTAYTGACTTGTGYAACATCCTAAAGCAATACATCTTGCTAACTGATTTTGTGGTGGGAAGAAAAGCCAAAGAAAGTGAGACGGAGGGGTCAGTAAATTCAAGAGTAGTGACAAGCACTTGCTCTGGGTGGCTGCCAGGAAGGACAGCAAGGTGTATTTATAGCAGCATTCACTGAGGACAGACAGAAGCAACAGGCTGTTGCTTTGCAAGCTGGTACCAAGTTTGACTTTCAACCTGTGATTAAATTGCACTGAGGTCCAGCAAGTTTCCAATGCCACTTTGCCATCACATATAAAAAATTGCTTACCAGGAAGGTCAGGACTAAGGCTACTGTAATCAAGACAGAATTATTTATGTTGTGGCAGGTCACCAAAGATGCAGTAATACAGCGAATACATTATGCGTAACCCCAGTAACAAGCGGGGCATGCTGCCACTGAACCCGAGGAAAGTGGCAGGCGCTCAGCAGTGAGACAAACCATAACTGTCAGGCGCTCACTGAGTGAAACCCAGGCAAAGGGCTACTGGAAAAACCCTTTATTACAGAGACACAGCCACGCTCCTCCCCACCCGGGCCCCACGGCCGACCGAGCTGCACTAGGCTCCATCGTGCGACGGAYGATCCGGCAGCAGGGGCGGCCCCGGGCCCCGCTCAGCGCAGCCGCCGGGCTTCGCGCTCCGACTCCAGCAGGGTGAGAACGTCGCCCTCGCGCACCGGCCCCTTCACGTTCCGWATGATGGAGCGGCTCGTGTCGTCCATGAACTCCACACGCACCTGAGGGGCGGCACCGCGTCAGCTCAGCCGGGCCCGGCCCGCGGCACAGCGCCTGCCCAGCCCGGCCCGCTCACCTGAGTGCACTGCCCCTGGGAGCCGGTCCKGCCCAGCACCTTGGTGACCTGCGGGGAAAGAAGGGATGATCAGCGCGGTGCTGGGGCCCGGAGCAGCCCAGACCAGCTCCCCCGGCCCCTGAACCCACCCTGGCCAGCTTGATGGGCTGCACGCGGCTCGTGTCCATGGCGGCTCCGGGGCGCGGAAGAGGGCGGGGCACCGCCGCGTCGATTTATATAGCGCCAAGTCTCGCGAGACCCAGCGTGCCGCGCGCGCGCGCTCCCGGCACCCCCTGCGCCCCTGCCCTTCACCGCGGCCAAGATGGCGACCGCGACTACAGTGATCCAGCGGCTCCGCAATTTCCTGGCGGGGGTAAGAACAACCCCRGGCTCGGGGCTCCTCTGCCCCGCGGGGCGCTGCGCTGCGTCCCCGGCTCCGCGGAGCCCCCGGCGCAGGGCGGCAGCCTTGCCTGAGCCGCTCTGGCCTTGCCTTGCAGCGGGACCTCCAGGCGAAGCTGCAGCTGCGCTACGAGGAGATCGCTAAGAGGTGCCGGRGCCGGGCCGGGCCGGGCCGGGCAGGGCGGGGCGCTGAGCCGCCCCCACCTCGGCCCCGCCGCTGACTCTCGGCTCGTTCTCTGTTTAGGACCCAGCCGCCGCCGCGGCTCCCGGTGGGCCCCAGCCACAAATTCGCCGATAACTATTACTGCACCCGGGACGGGCGTCGGGAGTCGCTGCCGCCCGTGGTGGTGGCGACAGCGCAGAAAACCTTGCCTGGTGGGGCACAGGCCGGCAGGTAGGTCTGACGCGGGCGGTGCTGCACCAGATTTACATCAGGAACACAGAACGCACCCCGCAACAGTGGGGAGTTACCGAGATTGGCAGAAGTATATGAAACTGATTATTTGTGTCCATATCTCCYTGCAAATAAGTGACGTGGGAGGAAGTTCACTTACTCTGCTACCTGGAGCATCTTTGTCCAATTCTGGGGCCTCCAAGAGAGGATCTGTTGCAATGAGTCCAAAGGAGGCCACAGAGATGCTTTGAGAGCTAGAACYCCTCTGCTCTGGAGCCAGGCTGGGAGAGCTGGGCGTGTGCAGCCTGGAGAAGAGAGGGCTCCAGGGAGAGTCCATTCGAGTGTCTAAAGGGGCTCCAGGAGAACTGGAGAGGTAGTTGGGGGAAGGTATGGATTGCCAGGACAAGAGGGAATGTCTCCCCACTGCTAGAGGGGCAGGGTTAGATGGGATATTGGGAAGGAATTGTTCCCTGGGAGGGTGGGGAGGCCCTGGCACAGGGTGCCCAGAGCAGCTGTGGCTGCCACTGGATCCCTGGAAGTGTCTCAGACCCGGCTGGATGGGGCTTGGAGCACCCTGGGATAGGGGAAGGTGTCCTTAGAACAAAATGGGCTTTAAAGACCCACCCAATCCAAAGCATTCTGGGACTTTGATTAACAAACCCCTCCGGCACTACTTTGCAGTCTGGACTTCGGATTAAATCTGAATGTGATTTCCAGAGTGTTACTAAAGCCTCTTCTCTCTTCCCTTCTCTACCGCAGTTCAGGCACTGCAGTGACAACAGCAGGGAAAAAACCAGTGACACCAGGACCACCACTTAAGAAGTGGGAAATTTCCAAGGATGAGCCCTACTTGTGAGCAGGGAGCGAGCTGAAGCTGCATGGTGGCACAGGTGGTTCCAGAGCAGCTCTGATTGGAGACTGTGCTGGATATGGCTCCAGGACTGCTGCAGGGAGCTGATTCTGACTAATAAATGTATATAAAGCTGTGATTACCATYCCCCACTTTGCCTGTTTTATTCAGTTTATTCAAGTTACTGCTCTTTCATACCAGTGTAAGGTTTGGTTGGTGAAATAGTGACACAACAGTGTCACAACAGCGACACAGGGGAATTTGTGAGCTGTAGCCAGTGAGTGAAGAGCAGCACTGAGTAAAGCACAGCCTCACTCACAGGGCCCARGTTCTGCGAGAAAAGTTCAGCAGCCTGTGGCACTTTCCCCTGGCAGTGCCAGTGTCCTGCTACGACTGCACTCTGCCCGGTCCAGCTGAGTGCTGTCACGCTGCCCATGCCCGGGGACAGGTCATTGCCGTGCTGATGGAATTGCAGGGAAGTGCGGGAGAGCGCGGCTGCTCCTGGAGCTGGGAAAGCTCTCAGGCGGGCGCTCGGTGCGCTGTCTCCAAGGGCGCTGGAGCAGGCACGGGGTGCGGAGCGGGCACGGGGAGCGGAGCAGGCACGGGGTGCGGAGCGGGCACGGGGTGCGGAGCGGGCACGGGGTGCGGAGCGGGCACGGGGTGCGGATCCGGCCCGGCCGTGCTGCTCCGGGAGCGCCGCTCCAGGGGAACTGCCCGGGCTGGGGGGCGCATTCCTGGCCCCGCTCACGTGACACCGCGCGCGAGGGGTGGGCGGGGCCTCCTCAAGGGCGCGCGCCCGCGCCCCGCCCCCCCGAGCACCCCATTGGTGGAGGTGGGGCCCCGGCGCACGCACTTTTCCTGCGTTTGTAGCGGCGCGGCGGCCCCAGGGACTGTCTCCGGTGAGGGCCCGCGGCATGGCCAGGCCGCGCCTGCTGTCGCCGGGGCTCCCGTTGCGGCTGCTGCTGCTGCTGCTGCTGCTCCCGCCGCTGCTGCCGCCGGTGCTGCTGCTCCCGCCAGGCAAAGGTGAGCCGGGGGAGCGGCCGAGCGGGCGGTGCCCATTGGCTCCCCGCGCACGCCCTTCGCTCTCATTGGCTGGAGCCCTCGTGCGCCCCGCGCGCGGGGTCCCCCGGCCGGGGGTGCGGGGGGGCTCTCTCCCTCTGCCCTCCCCCGGGCTCCCCTCACGGGTCCGTCCCCCCGCAGCCGCCCCGTCCCGCTGCCGTCCGGACCAGCTCCAGTGCGGGCCCGCCGCCCCCTGCTTCCCCGGCGACTGGCGCTGCGACGGCCACCCCGACTGCGACGACGGCGRGGACGAGTGGGGCTGCGAGACGGCGACCTCGGCCGAACCGAGTCCCAGCGTCCCCGAGGTGACCCTGCCGAGGAGCTCGGCGGTGTCGCTTGCCGACAGCGCAGGTACGGAGCCGCGGGGTGCGGGCAGAGGCGGGCCGGGGCCTGGGACGGCAGACCGGACCGAAGCTTTTGTTCCCCGCTGTCTCTGGCCGATCCAGGGCAGCYGCGGTCACCGTGGGTCACTGTGGGTGGAGGAAGCGCTATGGAGGATCCCCACCTTCAGCTTCCTCTGGTGGGGACAGCGCTGACGTCCCCCAGGGCTCCCTCGGGAAGCGCCTTTCAAGTACTTTTTCCTTCTTTCAGAATACACAATTCCCAGCAGCTGTCTTCMAACGAGCCAGTACACTGGAATCTGTTCACCTTCCGAGCTTCTCAAATCTCTGGGGAATGCGCAGGCTAAAGGGAAGGGGATGAGGAGGAAGTTCTGGGCCATCCGGGCTGGCCCGGAGCTGCAGACACAGTGTCTGGCTGTGTCTAGCAGTGTTTGCACCCTAGCACTGTCTATACCTGCTGCTCAGCTCTGGAGCATCCTTTGTCAGACCCGCTGGCTATCTTGGGTGCTTGGAAGGACTGTTCTGTCATCTCTTACCCGGGGATTTCCGAGCGTGTGGTGAGGAGGGGGGTTACTGCTGGTGTGAGAGGCTGGGTTTGATGTCTGCACCAGTTTGGTTGGCAGGTGAGAAGAGCTGCATTTTGGTTGTACCTGTGGCTTCCCTGTGCCACGAAGACAGGCTGAGATGCTGCAGTTCCAGCTCCAGCTGGGAAATTTCCCAGCTTTCCCTGTTATGCATTTCCAATAGGACCTTTTTTACTCTAGTGTGGRTTAATCATGGTAGCTACAGATAAGGTTTTGCTTCAATTGAAAAAGGCCTCTTGGTGCTCTTGAGGTGAGCTGGGAACTCAGCCAGGTGTGGATTGGAGACTTTGAGGTGTGGACAGGCTTTGAGTGCTGACGGTAAGTGAGTTGGAAGCCTCATGGATTTGTCTCTTTTTCCTCACAGAGGCTTCAGCCACGCCTGAGCCTGAGSTCTGTGTGCCATCAAAGAGTCAAGGTTACACATGGATTTTGATTGTTGCAGGTGTGTGAGACTTGGAGTGCTGCGCATGGTTTTGGACCTATCTACCTTGGGCTGTAAACTGAGGATTCTGATGGAGTCAGTTCCAGACCTGGATCAGTAGCTGGGCTGGGAGGGCATAAGGGAGGCCTGGCATCACAGCCTAATTATTACTCTGCCTTGGATGTGCTGTGTCCTTGGAAAGGCCATTCCATATGATCTGGCACTAACTCACCTTGTGTCTGTCTGTCCCCTGTCCTCAAGGGACACTGTTCGTCTCTGGCTATTGGCTCATGGTGTTGAACAGCAGAGCCCAGTTCCAGTGCCYAGACCAGGGCAGTGAGTGGGTCTCTGCTTGTGCACTCTGCAGGGCTCCTGAGCATCCTGGTAGCTGCAGGTTCTGTTGCTGTGTGGGKTCTGTCCAAAGCAAAAAGTATATCTAACACCTTGAGTCTTGAAAAAGCATCCAGGGAGCAGCTGATGCCTGACAAGAGCCAGACAGGCTCCTCGCCCTGAAAGGTAAGTGTGATGCATCCCATGTACTCCCTGTGCCTGAGGGAGAAATTCCTTCTTGCCCTGTATTTCTGGCTTCTATAGCTTTCCCTTCGGGGGTAGGTTTCCTCAGCTTCCCTGATGCTTGGCAACCAGGTGCGTGGGATTTCAGTCTGACCTGAAGTAGCAGAACTCTTTCCTTTCCTTTCCTTTCCTTTCCTTTCCTTTCCTTTCCTTTCCTTTCCTTTCCTTTCCTTTCCTTTCCTTTCCTTTCCTTTCCTTTCCTT